GGGGGCACGGAGCAGGAGCTCTCCTGCCTGGTCGGGCACACGGCGGGCAGCCAGCGGCAGAGCTCGGCGCTCTACGTGGCAGGTGAGCTGGGGCTGGGGTCACATCCTGCTGAGCTGGGCTGTGCTCAGCACCTCGGGGGGTTCTGCTCCCTGCCCGGGCAGGAGCTGCGGCTCTCGGCGGCGTTCGGGCGGCTGGCTGCGCTGCCAAAACTCACCAGTTCTGCCTCCAGGAGTGGGGCTGGGGGGAACCTTCCCTGCAGCCCAGCTCCTGCAGCCACCTGGGTTAAACACAAACATTCCTAACACTGGAATCAAGCAAAGAAAAGGAGAAACTAAACGAAAAGCATTGGGGAGGCCTTGGCCCAGGCTGCCCAGGGAGGTGCTGGAGTCCCCAGCCCTGGAGGGGCGCAGAAAATGTGTGGATGTGGCACTTCAGGACATGGTTTAGTGGCCATGGGAGTGTTGGGTTGATGGTTGGACTTGATCCTGGAGGTCTTTTCCAACCTTAACGATGCTATGATTCTATGTTTCTATGAAAAAAAGGAGCTATCAGCCCTTGGTCTCCCCTGCTGTGAAATCCTGTCCTGTTGCTATGAGAAATAAATCCCCGTGAATCATTTTAGCATCTGCACACATTCAATATATTTCTTTTTTCTCCTTGGCGCACAGAAAAACTCCTTTATTACCAGAAGACTGATTTGGGGTGAGGAATTACCAGAACAGAGGTGCAGTGGTGAACTGGGCTAACCTTACACCAAACTGCACCACGGTACCACGTGCTTTCAACTGCACCCTGTTCCCTTTTCACTTTGGGAGTGAACAAACTGGGGAGATTTCGGTTCCCCGGGGAGCCCAAACCTTCCTCCTGGTGACTGCTCTGCCCCTGAGCGTTGCTGGTGGAGCACGTTACCCTGGCTCTCATCCTGTGCTGCCTGATGAACTACAGGATCTTCTTCCAGCAAAGCACAGAGCATGATTTGACTAGAGATAATTCAGCTAGAAATTAATTTTCCCTTTAAAAATCCCCCACAAGGTACACAGACAGACCAGCATCGGTCTGGGGCAAGTGCTGAACTGCTGAAATGGGCTTTTAAAAAACACTGATTTTTGTTGGATTGTGGAGGGCAGCTGGGAGGGATTCAGACCTGCTTGGGCTGAATATGAAACAGAAATAATCTGCTTCCCCCTGCTCCTTGCAGAGCAGCTCAGCCTCTTTGGGGACTGTCTTTTTCAGGTCCGTTTTTCCACAACGCCCGGCCCTGGATGGCTGCCCTGGGAGGGGCGCTGCTGGCCGGGCTGGCTCTCCTCACTGCTGCTCTCTACCTGTTCAGGGTTAAAGGTAAGCTTCCAGTGTGGGCCTGGGGGAGGGCCGGGCAGCCGTCCTGCCCACCCCCTGGCTTCTGATGGAGGAGTGGGTTTGAGAGATGCCCAGATGGTCCCAGAGTCTTGTCTCAGTGTCTTGGGCACACATATGGTGCCAGGGAACTTAGAGACACAAGGATGTGATTTCTGGCAAGAAAAGAAAGGTTGTTACCCCAACAGAAGGCTAGCAAAGAAGGAAGTGGGCAAGAAAGCAGCACGAGCCAACCGTGCCCCTGCCCCAGCCGAGGGCAAATTCTCCCTGCAGAGACAGAGAAATAATTTGCCTAGCCCTGCAAAAAAACACCCTGGTGCTTCTGGGGGCCTGGCAGGGCTTCCCTTCCTTCTGAAATCCTCCTCTGAGGGTGTGCTAGAGAGGAATAAAGGAAATCAAAGTCGTGTTTCCTCCTGGAAGGGGCTGGAGCTGGTGGTGCAGCCACAGCAGCTCTTCCCCAGCCCACGGCCCTGCAGGCAGCTGCACCTCCTCCTGGGGCTTCATCTCTGCCCTTTGGAAGGGCTGAGTTTTTTCATTATTTACATTTCTTTCTTTCTTTCTCTCATAGGAAAGCATGAGAAAAAAATAGGTAAGCTTTACTTTCTGTTTTTTTCCAGAAATTGGAGAATTCCCTGAGGTGCTGGAATTCATGGGCACGTTTCTGGGGACCATGGGGGAGGGAATATAAAATTGTGACATCAAGTGATGAAATTATCAAATGATGTTGTAATTTGAAGGAAGATCATTACAGAACCAACAAAAGCAGGAAGGGATGCTGTACCAACAGTGAACTTTGCCTTTTTAGAAGGGCTCTGAAGGTACTTCCCAAAGCTGGAGGAAGCCTCGTGGCAGCACTTTGCATTTTGCAGGGCCCTCAGCTTTGTCTCAGCACTAAACAAACCACCAGGCTGGGATGATTAGGGGGCACTGAAAGTGAAATTCAAACCCATGCTCCTCTCTTGTCCTTGCCAGCCTGCCCTAAAGCTGGAGACTCTCCTCAGGTCTCCAGCCACACAGAGCTGGCTTCTGCCCAAGGGAGGTTCAGGGAGGGTGGGCAAGATCTCAAAAAAAACTTGAGAAGAAAAGTCTTGAGAAGCTCCTGGGCTGAAGCTTTTCCATCATGAGCAATTTCAGCCCCTTCTCCACCCCAATGAACATATCAGGAGAAAAAGGACGTGGCTTCAGTGGTGATGTTCTGCTCTGGTTTTGCTTTTCAGCGATGCAGGAGGCGGCTCTGCGTAAGTCTTGTCCCCATCTGCCCCCTGAAATCTTCTGTGAAAACTTTCAGACCTTAATTCATCCTCTCATTCTGTCCCAATGTTCTTTCTAGGCAGATATTTGACTTCCCCCTCCTCTAACCCCTTAACAATGGGAAAGTTCACTCTGCAAAGTCATGAGGTTTTCTCCCTGAGTGGCTGTCAGTGCTTTTTCACACTCCTGTTTTATAGCAGGGATATGTTACTGAACAGCCAGTGGGTTCTAGGGGAAGATTAGAGAAACCCAAGTTGTTGACAGTTTTCTTTTGAAAATGGAGCTTGTTTAGATGGTTTGGTTACCAAGTAATTTTAAATAACACAAATGCTTGAAGAGGGCTTCATGGGTTTGGTTGGTTGGTTTTTTTGTTTGCTTGTAGCTCATAGAATTGCCAAGAAATAGTCTTTTTGTTATTAAAAATGAACTCTTGCTAAATTGGGACCGATGCAGGGGAGAATTGATGGTGGGGAAGATGAACACAGTTCAGCTCACTCCAGGATCATGAGCATCCAGAGTATAAAGCAGCACATCTGCTCCCCCCATTGCAGCCTGTCCTTCAGCTGGGCTCCCAGGGCAGGGACTGGCTCAGACAGTAACTCCTGTGTTTCTGTTTCTTGTTCAGGGGATCGTGATGCAGAAATTGGTGAGTCTCCTTCTCTTCCTCACACAGGAGCTTCTCCAGAGCCTGGACAAGGCAGTGGCCTTTTCACTTTCAGAGTGTGAAGTTGAAGTGCTGGGGTCTAAACCCCCAGCCCTGAATCAGGGTTGACTTCTGGGTGGTGTCCACACCCAGGCAGGGCAGTCCCACCTCTGAGCTGGCAGCACAGGAGCTGTCTCTGCCTGCAGTGAACGGGGGAGTTCCCTCACACAGGGAACGTACTGGGTAGGATTTCCAGCCACTGGAAGGGCCCCCCAGCTGTCCATTGTGGACAAAGCTCCCAGTGATGGGGGTCATCAACATGGCTGGGTGCAGAGGGAGAAATACATCCCCAGTATTCCATCACTGGTTTAGGGTCATGGCTTTGCTATTGGAATCAGGCTGCTCACTTGGTTTCTCAGTCAGTTTGCTCCTCTCTTCAATTCATCTGGCACTGGGAGTGAATAATTCAACCTTTTTATTGCTCTGGTGGTTGGCCACCTCATATCCCTCATCTCTTCCATGTGTAATTTAGAATCAGAAGGGAAGTTGCAGCCTGTGTGCTGATTATTGATGATATCATTCCTGTCAAGGTACGCAGCCAGCAAGAGAGAAGTGAACTGAAGTTTGCTCCTCTCTTCAATTCATCTGGCACTGGGAGTGAATAATTCAACCTTTTTATTGCTCTGGTGGTTGGCCACCTCATATCCCTCATCTCTTCCATGTGTAATTTAGAATCAGAAGGGAAGTTGCAGCCTGTGTGCTGATTATTGATGATATCATTCCTGTCAAGGTACGCAGCCAGCAAGAGAGAAGTGAACTGAAAAGTGGTTGGGGTGTAGAAGGGACAGAGGAGAATGAGCTTGAGAATAACAGCGCTAAAGC